GAGAATTTCTAAAAATATTAGTTATCTGATTTATTATTATCCTTTTTAAACATTCTCACATTTAACTTCAGAGAAAATACTTATGATAGCATTCTATCAATAAATGGAAACTTTTAGAAAACTTTTAATAATCTTGAAAACTTGTCGAGTAATTAGAATATAATTGCTTATATTGTTGGACTGAAAAGTGAGTTAAAAATATTAGTCGAACGAACCTATTGTTGCGCGCTTATGTTAATGTCTGGTACCTGGCACTAGTGCCATCTAGTGTCGGAGAACAAAGCGAGGAGGGCTTCCTAGAAAATGCCTTCTTCAATCTTGAACTTTTCACCAACAGTGCCATCTAGTATCGAACAGAAGAATTAAGCTTTCTAGAAGGGTCCATTCTCGAACTTTCTGAACTTAGTCGGTCGGACCGGTATTTTCTGGAACATTCTGGATGTTTCGGTGGAAAAGGCGTATTTAAGACCGCTGAGAGCGACCGGGGCAGTATTGAATTTGGCGAAACAAGCGAAGCTTCGGAGCGAAATAAAGTGAATCAGTGTGATTAATTACTTGTTTTAATTAGTTATCGGTAGTTAAACTGTTAATTTTGGTAATTCAATCGGCAGTTTTTATTCTCACGAACCCTAAGCTCGTAGCAATTGGTGTCAGAAGTGGGATAAAATCATACCGATTTTACCTAAGGACGAAATTAAGGGTGTCCGTACCCGAAGTCAACGCCAGCAGGAGACGGACCATTTGGTGGTGTAACGCCGCAGACGTCTAAGGGCCAGCCGCCGGCCACGGAGGCCGGCCCATCAGCAGCTTCTACGTCTCTAGCACCTGACTTAGGTGCTGCGGGGCGGACAGGAGGAACAGGCTCGTCGACAGGAGGAATAGGCTCGTCGGTTGCAAGATCAGCAGGCGGAACAGGCTCGCCGATTGGAAGAGCAGCTGCGGGGCAGACAAGAGGAACAGGTCCGTCGGTTGGAGGAGCAGATGGTCCTCATGAAGGACCTTCACGCTACCTTTGGGAAAGAGATAAAGGAAGTGAAGGATAGGGTTTCTCAACATGACAACCGCCTGTTGGAAGCTGAAACCCGAATCATGGAAGCTGAAACCCGAATCGAGAAAGCTGAGACCCGAATCGACCAATTGAACAAAGTGATGGCTGACTTGAAGAAAACGCTGAACGACCTCAAGCTTGGGGATGGAATAACAGCTCCCGTGGTAGCTACAACACCATCAGTGCGTGGATTCAAAGTGCCGCAGTTCGACGGGACTTCTTCCTGGTCGGCCTACAAAATCTAGTTCAAGGCTGCTATGAAGGCGAACGGCTGGAATAAAAGTCAGGCCATGACTACTCTTGCACTAGGCCTGAGCGACCAGGCCTTAACTATTCTAGAAGCTCTCGGTAAAGAAGTGACTTACGAGCAGCTCCTTGAGGCGTTGGAGGCTAGATATTGCGACACTCACCAGGAACACGTCTTTGCAGCTTAGAGATCGCGTGCAATGCAGTAACGAAAACCTGCAGCAGTTGGCCCTTGAGGTGGAGAAGCTGGTGTGAAAAGCATACCGGTGGTTTGTACCTGCGCTCATTGAAGGGAACCTGGTGCAGACATTCATCGACAGCATCCGCGACCTTGAAGTCAGAGCTGCTGTGAGGTTCGGGCACCACGTCACGCTGAGGGAAGCCTTGGCCCATGCATTTGAGGTTGAAGTCGTTCGGTAATATCATCGTTCCCATCGCGTCAGGGAGGTTGCAGCAGCTACAGTTCGCAACCGCAATAATGAATACAGCCCTAGGTGCTATGGCTGTGGAGAAATGGGCCATATTCCATCCAGCTGCCCTAAGCAAACTGTAGAAAAGTAAGGTGATCGATCTCGAGGTGGTAGTGCGGCTAACGACACCGCCCAGCAGCGGCAGGATCATCGTTCTCCTCACGTTAGTGAGATTGCAGCACCTACAGTTCGCGACCACAATAAAATTTACAGCCCAAGGTGCTACGGGTGTGGGAAAAGGGGCCATCTTCGACCCAGCTGCCCCAAACGGTCTGTAAAAAGGGAAGGCGATCGATCTCGAAAGGCTAGTGTGGCTAACAGCACCGCCCAGCAGCAGCAGGAATACGACTTCGCTATCGGACACTGCAGTGGGAAATGGCGTGGCAACACAGATGCATTGTCAAGAAGTCTTTATCCTGATGATTGCGAAAATAGTACTAGGCAAGAGGTTAAGAAAGTGGTACCCGTGAAGGTGCTCAGGACATACCACCTCAGCAATGTGTGGAAGGACAGCTTACAACATGCACAGCAGGAAGATCCGGACATCAAGCCGATTCTTGAATATCCATTCCAAAAAATCGGTAGCACGGGCCTTCATACGAAGGCCCATGCTACCAAGCCCAAGTGGTGCGACGTCTCAGCGATGAATTCGACCACTAAAAGCTATTGGTTCCAGTGGGACAGCTTGCTGCTTCAGGATGGAGTTCTGTGCCATAAATAGGAAAATGTTCGGGGAGACAGCTGTCATTTGCAAATGGTCGTCCCTAAAGCTAAAGTACCGGATGTTCTACAGCTGTACCATAAAAATTGTTCAGGAGGCCATCTGGGAGTTAAACGAACTCTACTGAAGACCCGAGAACGGTTTTACTGGCTCCAATGTCGAAACGACGACGAGGACTGGTGTCGCAAATGTACAAGTTTTGCGGCTGTGAAGGGACCTCAAACTCGTAGTAGAGGAGCATTGAAATTGTAAAAAGTTGGTTCACTATGGGATAGGACAGCCCTTGACGTTGCGGAGCCGTTTCGAAAAGGTGCAAGAGGTACTCCTAAGATCGTCCATGTGGATCGACTGGTGCGTTACTATGGGGCCGATAATGCTCGGGACAAGCATGTCTTAGGAGGCGGCAGTGTTGTGCGCCTAAGGTAATGTCTGGTACCTGGCACTAGCGCCATCTAGTATCGGGGAATAGAGCGAGGAGGGCTTCCTAGAAGATGCCAATCTTGAACTTTCCACCAACAGCGCAATCTAGTATCGAACAGAAGAATTAAGCTTTCTAGACTCTAGACTCCACTCTCGAACTATCTGAACTTAGTCGGTCGGGACCGGTATTTGCCGGAAAATTCTGGATGTTTCGGTGGTTTAAGGTCGCTGAGAGCTGCGACCGGGGCAGTATTGAATTTGGCGATACAGGCGAAGCTTCGGAGCGAAATAAACTGAATCAGTGTGATTAATTATTAGTGTCTTAAGTTTTAATTGGTGTTCGGTAATTAAAGTGTTAATTTTGGTAATTCATTTGGCAGTTTTTATTGTCACGAACCCTAAGCTCATAAAACTATCTTAGTTATGACAACACATATTATATCGTATAAGAAGATGTTCGTCAAAATTTCAATATTCAAATTATTAGCGGCAGCTGTTTCAATTTAAATTAATGATAAATGATAAAGACCGTATAAAGTAAATAGTGAGCGAACAAACTTCACTGTAACAATGAAACCTGGCTGCCTAAAGACAAAGTTTCAAGTTTAGATATTTATTGCTAAATAAGAATAACAACTTTATGCAATAAGTAGCGGATAAAGTCCAAGTATTATTGGATTTTAGACATTTTTAAGAAACAAAGACATAAGTTTCTCGATTTTTTTACATTTGTAAGTTGCTTTTACTATGTGTTGCATTTATATGAAATCATCTCTTGCACATAACCGAGTGGTACGAGGTTACCACATAACCAAGTAGTAACCTCGTACAGAAAGCAGAGCACTACATCACTAAACTGATTGATACTGTAATGATGCAGGATTGATGTCTGATGTCAACTTCTTGGAGATTCAATCAGCTTAGTAGAAGGCCCACAGTTTCTTAACATTCTGAAGTTGAAAGCTTTAATCATTTTAAAGAAAGATTAATGCTTTCAACTTCAGTCGTCTGGGCTCTCAAATGCGTGACCTGGTTGTACAATATCGTTTTCAAGTTTGGAGGTATACCCGACGAGAACTTGTGTCGTAATTTTCCGAAAGCTGCCCAAAATAATTAAATCCATCGATTGACCTCTCGGTCAAAGTTGGATTTACCTAGTCAGACTATTTGTCCCAAGTAAACGTACTCGTCAACAACTTCGAGCTTAGTGCTCTCAACAACCACCGGCATAGGTCTGAAATGGATATTGCACATGACTTCTGTTTTGTCTATGTTCCTCTTAAGACATCCCAAGCATCACACAAGCTGTTTAGTCCATGATACAGCGATTCTGTATTTAGATTTCCATCGCAGGCATACTGTACAAATACTTCAGTACAATATATTTTCATTTATTCAATATACCGAAAATCAACTTGGCACCGCTGAATAGATAGTAGCCACCCCCTAAATTTCGACGGAATAAAAGCTTTCTTATATTCTACATATGCAAGGCAAAGTGACAGATTTTGCTCTTCAGTCTTATGTACAATTTGTCAATGGGTATGTTTATGGTCTATGGTATTGTTGCACGCCATAACACCATATATTAGCAAGTAGAAAAACTAGGAGAGCTTTCTATAAAATTCACTACTAGAACTTTCTACACTTAGCCGGTCGGGAACGGTATATGCTCTATCATTCTAGATGTTTCATCGGAGAAGGCCCTATATATGGCTACTAAGGACCGCGACCGAGTCAGTATTGAATTGGCGAATCAAGCAAATATTTCAAAGTGATATAACTGCGAATTGCGTTTTATTATTTGTGTGTTTTAAGTTGTAATATGTGTTCGGTAATTAAAGTGTCAATTTTGGTATGATAATCCCGTCGGCTCAAAAAGTTAACACACGTTTTTGTGATCGAATTTTATGTATTTAGTGTAAAAAATATTTTTCTAGCATAATTTCATGTTTAATCTTAATATTATTGCCTATTTAATCTCATATTGTGTGGACAATAATTTAATGTTCAAGTAATAACACAGTGAATATACTTCATATGTTCCATATTATATAAGTGCAATTTTTACGTTTCGGAATTCCACTGACATAACATGACTAACCTTTTTGATATTTCTGAAACTCCAAAAACAATAGAAGCTACACTTATAAAAAGAATGGATAACTTTGAGCATCAACTTGGCACTGCATCGAACAAACCAGAAAATCTTGTGAAAATTATTAAAGAATTTAATGCTTTTCGCGACTATGTTCAGGAGATATTCAAGTTAATGCGACAACAAACTTACGAGTTGAGCCAGTTAGCCGATTCATTGGAAATGAGACACCGAAAGAAATACCACATCCTTAGTGGAGTACCTGAAAAGGCTGATGAGAATACAGCTAGTATTGTTACCACAATACTAAAAAACAACCTTGGTCTCAACGACATCACAGCCTCCTCCTTCAAGGTTGTACACTTACTGATATATCCCTCGGCTATATTGTTTGGAGGAAAAAGGCTTCACTTAAGGGCACATCCTCTTTCTGAATTCATAACTAAACAACGCAAAGCCGTATATATGGAAGCACGCAAACTTTTCGGTATGCGTAACGTTTGGATACTGGATGGAAATATCACAATTAATTTTCCAGATGGAAACCGGTATAAAGTATTAAGGAAGAGCAGATGCTCCATATGAAGGACCTTCACGCTGCCTTCGAGAAAGAGATAGGGGAAGTGAAGGATAGGGTTGCTCAATTTAACAACCATCTGTCGGAAGCTGAAACCCGAATCGACCAAGTGATCAATCGAGTTGACAACGTGATGGCTGACGTAAAGAGAACGCTGGACGCCCTTAAACTTGGAGATGGTATTACAGCTCCCGTAGTAGCCACAACACCTTCGGTACGTGAATTCAAAGTGCCACCGTTAAACGGGACTTCTGCTTGGTCAGCTTACAAAATCCAGTTCGAAGGTGTCATGAAGGCGAACGGCTGGAATAAAAGTCAGGAAATTACTATTTTCACACTAGGCTAACGCGACCAAGCCTTAACTGTTTTGGAAGCTCTCGATAAGGAAGTGATTTACGAGCAGCTCCTTAAGGCATTGGAAGCGAGATATGGCACCGCTCACCTGTAACACGTGCGCAGCTTAAAGATCGCGTGCAATGCAGAAACGAAACCCTGCAGCAGTGAGCTTTTGAAGAACAAAAAGAGCTTTAAAGTTAAAAGAGCCCCAAGGATTTCTATCTCACAAACCCATGGTGGTAACAGCTTAATCATCAAGGACGAGGTCGAGGAGGACGAGGAGGAATGGAATGCCGTGTAAACTGACTATAAACACCAGAGCATCCCGCACGGTTGTCAGCTTCCAACTTATAAGTCAGTTCCTTGGGGGCTCCGCATACAACCGAGAACGCATTAATTTGGTGACAGCTACTGGTCAGCGCATACCCGACCGTGGAGATAGGAACATTTCGTGGAAGGGGCGTTACCAGGAAACGTTTACAGCCTTAAGAAGATTGTCCTTCCAGCGAGATCGGAAAAGATTGTGCCGGTTAGTCTTCCTTGGAATTTTGGGCAAGCTCATAGTTGTGTACGCGTGAAAAGGGTAGTCAATGACCTTCCATGTATTTCAAAGTAGCTCTTACCTTGGTAACAACCACTGACATTCCTGGAGTACGAGTTTTTGTGACTAAGAACAGATTATAGAAAATAGCATACTGTTGGTACTTGTGAGGAAGTGGATTGATTGCGTCGGTGCCCATATCTATCGACTGGGCCCAGATAGGATGCACAAACGAGAGTGACCACATTTTTAGAAGACTATCACAGCATTCTCTGCCCGCATGGAAATGGTCAAGGTAAAGAAGTTGTTACTCAAATACGTCGATGTTTTCTCGTCAAACGATGCTGACATAGGGAATACTGGCTTAGTTCAACACAAAATAAACACAGGAAAAGAATTGCCTATCCGTCAGCGGCCAAGAAGATTGCCAGTAGCAGGTAAAAAGGAAGTGGATACCATGATTGAGGCATTAGTGAAGGATGGTGTTATTGAACATTCATCTAGTCCATGGTGTTCACCTGTGGTGCTAGTAAAGAAGAAGGATGGCAGCATGCGGTTTCGTGTTGAATACTGCCGTCTGAAAAACGTTACAAAGAAGTACAGCTATCCCTTGCCAAGAATTGATGACACTCGATCTAAAAAGTGGCTACTGAAAAGTTGAAATTGACCCTAAGGACAAGGAGAACACTGCATTATCGACAGGAAAGGGTCTGTGACAATTTTAAGTCATGCAGTTTAGATTGTGCAATGTTTGCATAGGTTGATGGAATTTGTACTTATTGGGGTAATTGGTGATGCCTGTCTTGTCTACTTGGATGACATCATCATCGTAGGCCGTAAGTTTGAGGAACATCTTCAAAACCTGGAATGCGTACTCATGAAGATCCAGAGTGACAACATCAAGTAGAGTCTGACGAAATGTTCATTTTTCAAACGGCAAGTTAGCTTTTTGGTGTATGTAGTGTCTGAAGTCTTCGCCATTCCAAATCAAGAAGTTTCAACAGTTGCAGATAAACTAGTTCATGAAGTCTTCTGTCGTTTTGGAGTACCTTTAGATTTTTACAACGATCATGGAATTAGTATTGGTCTCAAATATTCCAGGAAACTTGCCGAGTTATGGGTACTCATAAAACAAGAACAACTTTTTACCACCCGCAATCTCATGGAATAGTAGAATAATTTAATCAGACATTGGAGAGGTACCTAGCAAAAGTTGTGAAAAATCCGCAAAGAGATTGGGACAAGCACATTAACCGTTTTTGTTGTCATATCGAAGCGCTGTTCACGAAAGTACATCAGTGACAACAGCTTTTACAAACTTTGGAAGAGAATCAGGGCTGCCTGCAGACCTGATCACCGGTACACCACCTGATACCCCATGCAGTATAATCGATTATATAAATGACTTGCGGAACAAAATTAATGACATTTATGAGCACGTCCGACAATCGGGCCAGCAAATGTCTGAAAAGGGTTGGACGAAGGTTCAGTAGTGTGGTTGCACAATCCAGTCAGCAGCAAAGGGAAATCTTCTAAACTTCAAGCTCAATGGGACGGACCGTATCGGATTGTGAGAAGGATTAATGACGTCATCGTCATCATACCAGATATATAAACGTGCAAGAGGTACTCCTAAGATCGTCCATGTGGATCGACTGGCGTGTTAATGGGGCTGATAATGCTCGGGACGAGCATATCTTAGGAGGGGACAATGCTGCGCGCCATATATAATGCCACTAGCGCCATCTAATATCGAGTAGCAGAACTAGGAGAGCTTTCTGCCAAATTTCCCTAATAGAACTTTCTACACCTACTCGGTCGGGACCGGTATGTACTCGAACATTCTAGATGTTTCAATGGAAAAGGCCCTATATATGGCCGGTAAGGACCGCGACCGAGTCAGTATTGAATTGACATTACAAGCGAATACTTCAAGCGATATTACTAGGAATTATGTTTTATTATTTTTGTGTTTTAAGTTGTAATTGGTGTTAGGAACTTCAAGTGTTAATTTTGGTAATTTTATCGGCAGTTTTTATTGTCACGAACCCCAAGCTCGTAACAGTACGAAATCCCTTTCCGAAACCTGCTTTTTCGGGAAGCTGGAAGTCATCGAGTTTGTATGTGGAACGATTTGCAATGACTCTAGAAAGGAGTACGTAGACGGAACTCAGAAGGGACGAACAAGCACATCGCACTTCTACTCCACGCCTCTGAAGTAGTACCACCATGGAAGTTGGAAATGAAGAGCTTTTGAAGGACGCCAAGTACTGGTTTTCCACCCGTTTTTAGAAGCTCCGCTGTAATTCTATACTTTTCCGGGGCTTTTCCATTTTTAAGCTGCATGGGAGTCATTCTAAACTTGATTGAGACTAACGTCCGGGAAATGAAAAAAAAAACAGTGTCGAATAAGACTTTTTTTGAACCGTTGCTGAGCTGATGGTAAGAGTATAATCCTGTCAATGTCTAAACTTATTTTAGGTAAGAGGGGTTGCTCTGTATCTGTACGTAATATTTCATCACAATAAATATACGGTTCAGCCATTCTGAAGATAAGCCCGGACAGACAGTCATGAATATTTAGTCCGCTACACTGCCGTATCATTGGTATTGATATCGACGAATCGAACCCCGGATTTTTTTCTATGAAATTTACAGCAAGTGCTTAGCCCCTGAGATTACACGGTTATCAAAATAATATGTACATATTACATTTCTGAAATTGAATTTTTTAACACATGTTACACTCATAAATTACTGTATCATACGAATATTTTACTGGATGAAACACTGATGAAATACTGAAATTATGCGAAGAATTTTATTTTATTTTACAATAAAATTAATTTCCTATTGTAAAAAGCGACAAAAAGCTTAGTGAGAATCGTGCCAAGATTTCAATTATAGAAAATTTTATTTATTAGAAAATAAAATTTAATTAATGTTTTGAATAAGAAGATCTCATTCATAAGAAAGAATAATTTGCGTCATTCTTCTAAAATAAATCACAGAAGCTTTGAATATCCTTTTAATTACTAACCCTACTATTGTATTTTATAGTATGAATATTAGTTGTTGCAATTTTAGTGTTATTTCTTTACTGACGGCTGGCTCTGTGGCGCAGTGGCTTGGCAACAAGTTTCAGCGCTAAGGGCTGCGGGTTCAAGTACGAGTATTTGTATGACACAAATTGTTAATGGTCTGAATATTTACTTATATGAAATTTATTTATGTCAACTACCTCTACGATACAGAAAAAAATTCTAGAGTAAAAGTAATATTTTCCATAAAAAATTAAAAGAAATGAACACAAAAACAAAATTTCATAAATGATTAGTTAGTTAAAGTAATTTTGTATTCTCAAAATATGTGGGCGACTTTTTTGTAAAACCTGAGTGAATAGAGCTTGGCTCATATTTGGAGGTCCAGGGTTCAAATCAACAGCACTTTAACGTACTCTTACATTACATATATCCACCTCATAAGTGCTTATAGTTAGAAATTAGTAAATCTTAAATTTCCGCCGCCAATTAGTTTTCAAGTATGTGTTTGCAAATGTTCGTAAAAGTCGTCGAGTAAAACTCATCTCATGCCCACTCTAAGTAAAAAATATATGCGACGTGAACCCTTTGTGTGTGAACTCGGTGAGGCTCATTACTGCGTCTCGTTTCAATGCGATGCAACAGCTGTTAAAATCTAACTTAAGGGGAACTTCCCTTCTGTTATACTGCTACAAAAAACAACAAAATAATAACAAAAGTCTTGCTCTTCAATTTTCTAAAAAAATTATAAATTTTTATATTTATAAATTTTGCAATTATTCAATATATTAATATTTATATTGAATAACTCTCGGTGAGGAAGTGACTTATGAGCAACTCCTTGAGGCATTGGAGGCGAGATATGGTGACGCTCACCTGGAACACGTCTTTCGTGCGCAGCTTAAAGATCGCGTGCAGCGCATCAACGAAAACTTGCAGCAGTGGGCTCTAGAGGTGGAGAAGCTGGTGCGAAAAGCATACCGGTCTGTACCTGCGCTTACTGAAGGGAACTTGGTGCAGACATTCATCGACGGCATCCGCGACCTGGAAGTCAGAGCTGCTGTGAGGCTCGTGCACCACGAGACGCTTA